TGTTCTCCCGCTACTTTACCTTTACCTACTGCCCTGTCTCTCTCACACCTGAAGAAGGCTCCATGGCCGAAACGTTGTGTTCTCTTTCTTCTTTTCTTCAGCATGGAATAAACCTATTACTTGTTCCCTTACTACATTATTTACAGTAAGGCCATTTTAATAATATAGAAATCAAAATATATCTTCCCCTTTTTATCTGTTCATTTCAGGTGGATCCCAGGTACTATTTTGATGTGTGTTTGCAAGAGTCATGTTCCTGCGAGTTTGATGGCAAATTCCTGGGTTTTTGCACAGCTGTGGCTGCGTATGCTGAAGCGTGCAGTGAGGAGGGTGTCTGCATCCAGTGGAGAACCCCTGACTTGTGCCGTATGTCTCAGCTATTTCAGTTTTTTATCTAAGATTATCTACTTATTAAAATAAAAGTAACAAATTTTGTCTTAAACATCGAATGTATACTAATGAGACTAATAGCAAAAAGCTGTCTACTATGTTTATTTATTTTAAAATGAAATGGCAAAGGCAATGCTTTTATTCTCTTTAAAAAATTCAATGCTCTTTCATGCTATCATGGTATTTTAAATGTGTCTAAAACAGATGTGTTCTTAAGCTCCATTCGTATAGGAATTACATTTATAAAAATAAGTTAAAATATCCACATTAAATGGAACTTATTAACTGAAGTTTGGGAAGGACGACAATGACAAGTTACTCTCACACAATTGTACCTAATAACCATCATTATAATACTTGCTTCATACTGTATACTAATCTCAAATGCCTCCCTTCGCCTTTGTCCCTAGCATTCAAACCAACTCCACCAAGCTGAAGCAAGCTTTTATACAACACTGGTCATAATCATTCTATTAGAGCATCCCTTGCTTTAATATTGGTTTCTTCACTGATAGTTTGGGGGTCTATGTGTTTTACTTTTGGGGTTCAAGCCTCATCATCATCATGGTCAAGAGGATACCCACTAACCAATCGGATTAAGCCAAATTTTACTAATCAAGTATTCCAAGCATTCACAAAGCATTCATTTTTTTATATTGTTGTCCTTAGTGAAATTGAACTTCTTAACTGAAGTTCAGGAGGGAGAACAATGACAAGTCTATCTCACACAGCTGTACCTAATCTCCATCTTTATGAAAATAGCTACAATATACTAAGGCATCTGTCTGTGCCTGGTCTGGTTGAGCAAGACACAGGGAACTTTAGGGAAAGCTCCATGTCATAGTGAGACAGGACTGCAGTGGGAAACTGTTAAAACTCCAATGTTAGCAGTAAGACTCTTAGATATAGAAGGTTCAGGTCATCGAGAGTAGGGGAAGCTCTCACTGGAGTAGCACCCTCATTTGTTTCCAGCTGGGCTCACTGGTAAAAAGAAGACAGTTTGGAATGAAATAGGACCAATAGAATCGACCAGGATGAGATACTCGCCACTGTTACTTGAAACACAGGGAACCTTACTTACAAAGCAAGTCCATTGCCTCACCAACTAGCCTCCTCCAGCGCATCCTATCTCTCCAGGCAAACCAAAATCTCTTATCTTTGTCTTTCGAGGCTGTCGTAACAGATAGTGTTTTATGATATAGGGGTATTAACCTGCAACCTGGAGGGCCAGGGTACCATTCTTCATCTGGCCCTTCACTAAAGACCTGTCCGGCTTGGATGCCCCTACCAGAAGCTACAGCTCCTGCCGACTAGCTCTTTAGATCCTTTGAGCATGACAAGGTGATGATACCTTTGAGGAAGAACACAAGGAACTGCATGGTTAAAATAAGTTTGAAGTTTAAAATAATGTGGCAGAGTTCCCTCATGGTAGGATACCATACAGGGGGATCTGTTGGAATAGGGTTCAAGCCTCCAGATCCTATGGCCAGGGGCCTACCCATTAAATAAGCAGGTTAAGTCAAACATTTCTCACCAAGTATTCCAAGCATTCAGAAAACATTCAATTCTTGGATGTTGTTTTCACTAGTGACCTCTTAATATAATGATTGTTCTCAGACTTTTGATGTAGAAATGTCATTTTATTTTTTTCAATTCTTAGCACTATGAAAATTCTTTGTTCTATCTTTCCAGCTGTATATTGTGATTATTATAATGTCCCTGGAGAATGTAGCTGGCATTATGAACCGTGTGGTACAGTTCCAACATGTGGTAAAAACAATAGGTTCGCTGGAAAGCTCGAAGGTAAGAGTGACACTTCCAATTGTTTCAGTATGCTTATACATCTTGACGGCCTCTTCTCTGCTTAGTTTGTGGTTTCTCGTTTTTCAGTTGCTCTTCATCAATAGTTTTTAGTTTTCTTTCACGGGAATGCTTTTTGTCCAGAAGAAGAATTTGTTCTTCTTTCTGAAGTTTGTTTATCTAGAATGTAAGAAAGGTTACAAGCAAAAGAAGGGCATTCGGGAAATTAAGAATGCAGTGCTTGGAGTTTCTTTTTGACTCATCCAAACAGAGTGACAGATTCAAGTTCATTTCAAGTCAATGTGCAAGTTGTACTTCTAACAGATATACCACTTTTTTCAGTTGGACATTACTAGTATGATCAAATGAATGTGGATTACTCTATACTAAATTAAGTGCTTCATTGAAAATGTTAATATTACACTTGTTACAACAATGGTAAGTGCTAAATACTTTTGGAAAGTACTGTACCTTCTTGCCTCAACAAAAAAGGCTAAATAAGGAAATGACAAATCTCACAAAAAGCTCCTAAATTGCCTTTCCTATCAGCATGTACAGTACATTTTGTACCACTCCTCTTCATATAATGATACCTTACATTTTCATTCTTGTAAATGTTTACATTTTAATTACAACATTTTATTGGTAATATCGCTGTTCTGTTCGGATAATTATCTAAATCCTCAATCATTCACTACTCTAGATAAGTTACATCTTCAGCAAATGTGACTAATTTGTTACTGATATAGCAGACTATAATTTCTGTGTATTAAAGACAAGAATATGCACACAGCACTAACTCTAGGAACTTTATACTCAACCCAGAAGCTATTTGCTCAATGCCTGTAAAGGCTATGGAACACAGTTTATAAATGCTTCTTGTTAAGAGTTTAATTATTTGCATAATAAGGTTTTCTTTGCTCTGAAAAAACAGGGACCAAGGGTAGAAATGCTTCTTTAAGAAGTCTGAGCTTATATTTCACTAGATATTTTGCAAATATTGTAAATAAATTTATGGCAGCTTAGTGTAACAGAAATATATTTACAGTAAATGCAATCACTGACTGTGTCTTTATATTTCTATGCAGGCTGCTATCCCAGGTGTCCAGATGATGCACCGTATTTTGATGAAAACAAAATGAAGTGTTCTAGTTTGCAAAACTGCAGTTGTTTTTACAATGAGACGATAATTGAACCTAACGTAACTGTGGAAAACTGTAATGTCAAATGGTAAGTACTTTGTGATATACAGTAGTTGTTACTGTACATTGTGTTTGTGAACCAGTAGTTAGCATATTTTCAGAATTCCTCAAATCAATGTTGCAGTATTGAAACAAGAAGATACTGTTCTCTCCACTGGAGAAGACTCTCACACTGAGGAAGGACTTTTTTTCCTCAGGAAACTAATCATCAGGATTTCTGCCAGGTTACTGTTTCCCTTATATAACAAGGACCTATGCACCTCAGGGTTCTTCCGTTGCAGCATCCAATCCAGCAATCCAGCAGCCTTATTACCTGTTTTATAGTAGATTTCACTTCCACCACAGGGTCTGGAAATCCTGAATCCCAAACCACCTCCAGGATTTGCTCTAACCTTACAACTAAAACACCCTTCTAGTGGTTATAACCACATCCCTTTTCTCCCTCCTTCTTATTAACCAATATCCTAAGCTTTAAATTGAATCTTAATTGGTAATGAATCCTTAACAGATTATTCTGTTTGGCCAGGAGAGATTCTTAAGAAAATCTGGTGCCCCTGATGAAGTAACAGTCTGGTTTGCTATAACCTTAATAATCTACTAGGTATGGTGATAGAATTCCTTCCACCCAACCTAGCAGCTGCATACAACTTCCACCCAAGATCTCTGTATTCTTTCTAACTTTTAGAAAAGACTGTAAGGCTTCAATTTTGGAGTAAATCTTTAGGAGAATTAACCTCCTCCCCACTTCCCTTTCATAATCCATAAAGAAAACCAGCACCTCAGTGAGTACTCTCTGGTTTGTGGCTAGACATAACCGACAGAACCATAGGGAGGGCTTATGCTGCAGTATGTCTCTGCTCACACCTTACAATTTAAACCTTAACCATCTGGTTCTAAAATCTATCCTGTTTCATCTCCACAAACAAGAGACTGCTTTTAACCCTATTCTACTTACACTAACCAAAGGCTTTAACCAAGACACTGTTCATAATCAAGAGTCTGCTTGAACCTATTTAATTTAAAGAGAACTTTTAACCAACAACAGATGCAGCACAGTGCTCGGCTGTATCCATATACAAATACTTAGACTTAAATGGTGTACCAATGACTGAACTGATTACTCTTTAAAGAACACTAAAATTGTAAGATTGATAAAGATATTAAATCATCATATTGGATTGTTTGTGTTTATGAAATATTATTACAAAAAGGGATTATGAAAATAGAGAATAGCATAAATAAACCAAGCAGGTTAATCAATAATTAAAATAATCATAACCCCCAAATTTTAAAAGTTTAGAACAAGATACCTGAGCAGTTGGTATAATTAGAGGCCCCTGAATTTTTTGTTCTGTGGTATAGCTTTTGATGAAAAGTGTAATAAGTCAGTCACACTGGGTTAAATATTTATTGACACAGCACAAACTAAACTACATACAACATAAACATATATAACATACAACCTACACTATTTTAAAAAGGGCATCTCAAAGGCCTACAGTTCATCCTGACAACTAGAAAAAGTACCAAATATGCAAATCCTACAGTACGTAACACCTAAGAAGACAAACAAAAAGAGATAAACCTGCCTTCTGCACTAAACAGAATACAACCTAGAGTTAAATCACTCAATTAACCTGGATGTAGCTAAATTAAAGGGAACCTATCTCCCTATTCTAAAAATCCACTAACCAGGAGAGAACACTTTAACTTAGGGATTCTCTATATTGGAAATCAGCTTCTTAAAAACAACCAGCTTATTTAACAAGATTCAAATACTTATCCTGAATCTGATCACTAACTGGGACAAGAATAAATGAGATGATTCATTTGATCAATGTGTCTCCAGAACTAATACCACTCAGAAAACACTTCAGTTCCTTTCTTGATTTGAAGCTCCTGAGAAATACAAATTTTGACACTAGTTAGATGTTTGACCATTGTCTGTAGATTCTTGAGACATCTTTATAGTCACTACAATAACTGTAGCAATAAATTCATATCAGGTTTGTTGTTTTCCTGAGATTAACCATTATGTCTGTTTTATGCCTACAGTGTTTGCCTAAATGGATCACTGATTTGCTGTAAGTAAAAAAAAAACATATTTTGATTAGAACACTAAGGATTTTTTAAAACCTAATTTTAATTGAAATCCTAGAAAACAACTGATAAGCAAAATATATTGATTTTGTGATTTCTACTTTGTGCCTCTCCCCAGGAATCCACAGACTTCTCTGTTGTTCCATTGCCAGCTATTTTCTTTGTGGTCTAATATGGTTCTGACTTCTCATTGTTTTTAGTTCAGCCCTTTTACTGTCTGAAAAAATACCCAACTACTCTTTAACATGTTGTATTCTTCAATTTGCTTCTTCTTTTTACATGTTCAGTTATGTTCAAGGTCAAAGCCCAGTATGTTTTCCTTTGTCTTTTAACTTCAGTTTTACATTTTTCTGACTCTGCTACACAACACATTGTGAAACTCTGAGGTCTTTACAATCCCTTCTTCTCATCTCTTTCTTTTGCCATCCTTCATGTCAGCCCTCAGTTCTCAACTAATGTGCCATCTCTTGTGTCATGCCATCTTTCCTAGTTTTTATCTTGTTCCCTGTGCCAGAAGGCATCTTATTGTGAGCCCAGAGATAGGTGTCCTATTCCCAGCTAGTGTGATTTCTAAAATAATACTTTCTACCTCTTTCTTCGACTATTTCAGTTTCTGCTACTATTACTTCCTTTTCTCATGTTACTAATTAGTTTTCCTTAATGTTCTGCCTTACAGCACTAAATCTAGCTATAAATGTGGTTTGCTTCTTAGCTTGACAATCATGATTCAAAGAATTAATCTCTAAAAACAGACGCTTCTGCCTTGGTTCTGAAAAATCAAAGGAGTATTTTGTGATATTGTGTCTCACTTGGTTTTTGACGGCACTGGAGCCCCTTAACCTTAACTGATCTCTCAAACAAGTGGGTTTAAATCAACCAAAAATGGTCAAAATCATCATGCAATATATAATGTATAAAAGTATATTAGTTTCAGCTATGATATGAACCCCATGACCACACACAGGGAAAAATAGATTCCTACAATCTTCCCACTTTTTCTCCACTTGTCCTTTCACATGTCCCCAGTAACAAAGCTGCATAGTGGAGGTTCATAACTGATTAGAGGAGAGGCATGCTTCTCATACCTTGTTGACTAATGTCATATTATCCCAGGTGGTAAGCATTGTGTGCTTACGGAATCGAGTTACAGTTGGACAGTGACTTGACTCAGGCTTGGTCCTACAATAACAGACCACAACCTGCACTTTGAAGAACAAATTTCAGAAGGGCTCAGAAAAAAAAATGGCTAGAAAAGGTCTCCAAAATCTGCACATTTATAATAAAGATCACATGCTAAGCTTTGTTTGTCCATTTTAAATATAGAAATGAATAAAAGCATCAAAACTGATCATCTTCCCATACTGATTTTTAAAATTGAATTATGATTTGATTATAATATGAAGTAGGACAAAAACAATTCTAATCAATATTTTTGGATTGGACAGGCTAACTAAAACAGCAATAGGGCTAGCATACTCTTGCCCATATTCTCTCCAACCCCTATTAGAAGTATTTCTTTTTCCATAGATTTTCTTTCCAAATAAGTAACAGTTAAAGCACTTAAGAGTTGAAATAAGTTATTTCTGTTATCACTGACATTTAAAAATAGTAATCCAAGGTCAGTCCAAGAGAAAAAAGGAAGGAAAGACAAGTTAGGGAAGACATCCACCATAGAATCATACCTTAGAGTCATACCATAGAATCACACACACGTTATTGAGTGGCAAATTCTCAGGTGGCTTTAACAATAAACAGAAATCTGTTGTTTTCTATTTCTCCAGAGTTAAAGCCTCTGGATCATACCACCCATTTAAAGGAATGGTCTGAATGTTTCTTAATGGTGTGGTACTGAAATAAAGGTCTAAGAAGGTATAAAATAAAAATTGTTAACCAATGGGTTTCATAAGATGTTAAAAACTGTAGCTAACACAGCTAAAGGCATGTTATATTGTCCTGTCAATATGTGGGGACTGTCACCTCAATGTTTATTATTTCAGACTCAGCTACACCATAGAACTTTAATGTCTTAAAAGAATAGGGTAAACCTCATATTTATTATAATACATTTTTTAAAATTAATTATATTCTGGTCTGTCTTAATTAATATTTTGTTTCTGAAAGTAATGAAATACTTATTTTATTCTTTGCTAGCATCTTCAACAATAACAACAACATCAACAACAACCACAACCACAACAACAACACCAACAACAACGAGATCAACAACAAGTAATTATTTATACCTGTACTACTGTACTTCTTTAAATCTACTTAATGTGGAATATTAATATGGAATCCCTTCTTTCTCTTTTAACTTCAATTTACATTTTTCTGGCTCTTCTACACAAATATTGTGAAACTCAGAGGTCTTTACAATCCTTTCTTCTTATCTCATTCTTTTGCCATCCTTCATGGCATAGTGTCAGCCCTCAAGTATCAACTGTCGTCTCATCTCTTGTGTCATGCTATCTTTCCTAGTTTTTATCTTGTTCCATGTGCCAGCGGGCATCCTATTGTGAGCACAGTGATAGCTGTCCTACTTTTAGCTAGTGTGCTTTCTAGAATAATATTGTCCACTTCTTTTTTCAACTATTTCATTTTCTGCCCCTAAAACTCCCTGTTCCCATGCTACTAATTAGTTTGCCTTAATGTTCCACCATATTGCACTACATCTAGCTACATCTTAACTGTACTTCTTTTATTCTTTGCTAGTATCTACAACAACACCAACAACAACATCAACAACAACGAGATCAACAACAGGTAATTATGAATACCACCATAATTTGTACAGAAAAGTGTAGGATTTACTGCTGTAAAATGTATTTGAAAATTATGAAACAACACTATTTGTTTCCCCAAAAATAGTTAGTATTAAATAAGAATGAAAATTTCTCTGTTAAATACCAAATTCTATGTTTCTTTGAAAAAAAGATTCCCAGTGATTAGCTGCTCAAGTGTTATGTTGTAGGAAAAAGGGGCTATGTCTGATGAAATTCCTCTGTAAGCTAACATCTACTACAGTTATCATTCTGTTGCCTTTACTTAAATTATCTTCACCTTGAAGATTTGCATTAGGATAACACCCATCTTTGTAGACACAGCTTAACCAGGTGCAGTCTTTGGTGAGACAGGACAAGATCAATGACACAGTTCTAGGGTTTTATTAAATATAAACCTATCCTTTCAGTTGAACTGGTCAGTGAAATCAGAGGCTTTTCATTTCCCTCCCTTTCCTCTGGAGAAGAAATGGAAGGCTGATTTTGAACTAATACTTTGACAGGACTGGTTCAGGACTGGTCTTACAGGACAAGATAAAGTTTATCACTTTCTTGCAGATTGGACTAGCTTTTTATGTATCATGGTGTTCATACACAGGGTAAACTCCTATCAAGACAGGGACATTCTCTTTGATTTGTGGATGCTGTAGTCCCAGCCTATGAGGTGGACAGTATTCCCCTTCTGAGGAGGGTCATGGCACTCTTTTTGAGAGGTGTGGTGGTGTGTTTGGCCCTATTTAGAATTGCCTCAAAATTGTAGATGTGTGTGTCACGAGGTTTTACTGCCTGAGTGTTGTTAATTCAGTCATTAGTGTTGCCCAGCCATTTGAACCTTATGACTGATGAGGTTGTCTGTTGTTACTTCATTGTTGTGTCCTTTTAAAAACTTTGTTATACTGTATATTTTACCAGTGTTTTCATGAGTCCTTCAAAGGAAAGGGAAATGTTAGTTTACATATGTAACTCTAGATTTCCGAAAGAAAAGAAAGTCCTTTGTGATTAAAACATTTGATGATAGACTAATACAAATTCATTCCCACGGCTAGCAAAATCTGATATGCCATGTTCAGTGGGTCAGTCTTTCAGGTTTGAAATAACTGGAAATGTTCAAATAGCAGCAATAAACCATACTTTTAGTGTTCTTTCAGGAAGTCAATTTCTATACAGTATACTACAGTACTGTATATATTAAGAACTTGATTCTATTACTCCTCACATTTCATTGGTCACATTTCAATGTGTGAAGTGGCTTGCAGTCTTTTTTGTACTTAACTATGGAAAATGTGTCTGGTTTTTATTTATTATGTGAATTTTAGTCAGAAGTATACAGTACATAAGAAAGCCTACAAACAAGAGGAGGCCATTGGGTCTATCTAACCTGTTTTGAGTTATCAACTAATCAATCCAAGCATTTCATCCAGCCATTTCTTATGAGAAGTTATGGGTTTTAGCTTCACCAGAACAGTGTGGCTGAGTACCGTACTCCCATGTTTCCACACCCTTTTGTGTGAAGAAGTGTCTCCTGCTATTGGTTTTAAGTTCACCTTTTCACTTTGCATCCTCTGGATTGTGTTTCACTATATATAATAAACCTATGGATTATTACATCAATGGTGAAACTTGTAATAGACGATTGTACAAAAGTTTGTTTTGCCTTCTAAATGAGAAATCATACTGAAATACTGATGTAGCCACTCAGAATGCAATTAAAAGTTTTTTCCAGTGGCAAACACACCATAGCATACCGCAGCACACAAATTTAACTTGACTGGCAGATGAAAATCAATAAGGTGGTACCTCTGGTGCATTAGATGTCAGTTAAAATGATTGCTTCATTAAGTCTGCTCTACTACTGTGCTTCTTTAAATCTACGCAATATGAAATATTAATATGGAATCATGTAACTAATTTTCCATGTTTATGTATTTGCTTTGCATAAAATAGTACATAGTGTTTCAAAGCAGGAAGCTGCTCATTCTCAACTTTTTAAATGCACACGTTGAAAGACAGGTTGGATCTTTAAATATTTTTTTAATTACCCAGTTATTTCAAAAGGATACAATGAGGAACTGCTTAGATTATGTCTTCAGTTTAAAAATATATATTGACACAACTATGAAATATATGACATGCTTTAAGTCTTACTTAAGAAAATGTAATTGTTTGTTAATATGTTAATGTTAAGGCTAAAACAGCAACTCCTGTGGTTTTTGGAGACAGATCTAATTTTACGGTTCACACAAATGCACCGAAAATACTGGTATTCATGTTTTTGTGCTGTAATCCTCTCATCCAGTAATCCAGTGCCTGAACTTTCCAAACTATGTTACTAATGGTCAGGTTACTTGTACGTGATTATCATAAATATAAGGTGTTGTATCCTGGGAATAGCAGCACTACTACTTTTAATGGGCAAACCGGCACAGTTTTATTGTTTGTGGTTTTTGTAGTGGGCAACTTCACAGAACTAATTCCCAACTGCATATAATTTGATCTTGCTGTGTGAAACTGAAAATCCAGACTTTTGTCAACATATTTACTAAATGTAATCTGGTTCACTAATCTCACTTTGTGAAATAGTCCTCACTGAATCATTTCACCCTCTAAACACAACACCTACTGGGCACATTGTGATCTCACACACAGGTGAGAAATAGGGATAAAAACTTCAGTTTTTAAATATGTATCTTTTGTAAATGTTAATACAATGTCAAATATATTTGTATTTCTATTTTTTTGCCTAATATTTATACCTTTCATCATACTGTGGCAGTTGTGATATGGCGCATTACACCTCAAGCAGTCAAGAGTGACTGCATCTCTACCTCGAAAAGAGAGGAGATATTTGTTTTGTGATAGGCAGACTAACTAAAAAAAACATCATACCCTGGCTACAAACATACACATATTCATTACTTTAAGTTTCATTGCTAATTGTTCCTTGTATTACAAAAAGTACATTGAATGTTACACTGACTACAAACAAGGCACAAGCAAAACTCCGTATTGACAATAAAATAATATAATAATTACCCTTATTACAAAAACATTTGTTGTCAATTACATAACCAAGTACATGAGAGGTGTAGTATATCAAAGAAGGTATTTGTCATATCATATCTTTCCTAATCTTTTTGGGAAAAGTGGATGGCACAAAGGCACCTGGCAGTTTATGTGACTTACTGTATGTAGTGCTTATTTGTTAAGGTTGGAGTACGGTAATGTCATATAGCACTGCAATTTAAGGGAGGTATGTTTAGTACAAGGCATGGATTTCATTGTTTTAATTCTTAACATGAGTTGAAATAGATAGGCTACATACTCCACAGTTCCCCCACAATGCCAAGTCTGGGTGACACACAAATTTGCATAAGGGTATTGTGAGACAATGAATATTGTTACAAATGGGGGGTTCCGAAAATGGTGAAAATCAGGAATTGACCAAGCAGTTTAGTCAAGAAGTAAAATAAATATTCATAACCCCCAACATGTAAGTGATTTCTCCAGAATATACCCGAGCAGCTGGTAGAATTACAACCACATAAATAATAATATTAATAATTCCTTACACTTATATGGTACTTTCCTGGACACTCCACTCAAAGTGCTTTATAGGTAATGGGGACTCCCCTCCACCACCAATGTACAGCAACAGCGCCAGTACGCTCACCACACATCAGATAACAGTGGGGAGGAGAACAGAGTGATGAAACCAATTTTTATAGATGGGGATTATAAGGAGGCCATGATTGAGAAAGGCCAATGGGAAATTGGTGGGACATTGGGGTAATACCCCTACTCTTTCTGAGAAACACCCTGCGATTTTATATGACCAGAGAGTGTCAGGACCTCAGTTTTACGTCTCATCCAAAGGATGGCGCCTTTTTAGAGTATAGTGTCCCCGTCACTATACAGGGGCATTTGGACCTGCACAGATCACAGGGTGAGCAACTCCTGCTGGCCCCACTAACACCTCTTCCAGTAGCAACATTTTTCCCAGGAGGTCTCCCATCCAGGTATTGACTAGACGCATACCTGCTTAGTTCAGTGGCCTGTCAGTTGTGAGTTGCAGGGCGATATGGCTGCTGGTTATACTAATCCAGGTACACTTTGTAAAACAAATATTTACTATAATGACAAAAACCATACAACACACAAGTTACTCTATGTACAGTATTTACAGTACAGAAGAGACTTTTCAGAGGCCTAACATTCTAGCCACCCAGAAAACCCCCAGACTTCTACTAAGTATTGTGGAAGAAAACTCAGTCTTTACCTGGGTTATGAGATTGTCTAACAAATATCTTTTATTCAATCAGCTGAAGGGTAGCATAGCACAGAGTCAGGGTTTCCCCTGGCACTCACTAAATATGCTCGCTCGACTGTAGTTACACTTTTCCTTTTATACCATACATGTAGGTGAGACTTTTATATATCAAAGAAATACACAAGGCAGAGGACACTTACAGAAGTCTTTAAAACACAAACAAACAGGACAGGAATATTCCATTTGGCATTCTGCAATCTTGTTTTTGTTCTCTCTGATAAAACACACAGGTGTGAAACATCACAAGCTTTAGTAGCAGAAAGAGTTGTTTTAGGTGCAAACAGAAAACCCCCTGCACAGAGTCACAGTCTAGGCCCTTTTCAAGAGTTCATCTCACTCAGTATTCCAAAGTATGTAACTCTTAATGAATGCCTACAGAGGCCAAATAAGAGATAAAATGCCTTCTAAATAAATGTGATACAATCAGTTTAATTCAAGGTGCTTTATTAGCATGACCGATGCGTACAATCAATGTTGCCAAAGCAAATAAAATAATGAAATTCACATGAAACAAAACAAAAAATAAAAGTAAAATAAAATCTACAGACATATTACAGACATTTACAACAATGACATATTATAAAATATTTAAATATACTGTAGACAGAAGGAGCATTATTGGGAGACAGACTCACTGTTCCTCAGGCTGTGACAGGAGATCACATACTGGGCTGCCAGTTCCACTGAGTTCCCTCCTCCCTCTCCCAGTAGGATTGGGACCCGTTGTGATTCTGGCAGGTGTGGGAACTCTGGGATTAGATTTCTGAATTTAAGGAAGAATTTTTCTCTAATCCCAGAGAATCTGTCACCGTGCAGTAAGAAGTGCACTTCTGACTCTATTTCTCCCTGCTGGCAGTGGGAGCACAGCCTGTCCTCTCTGGGCAGCCAGGTCTGCCTGTATCGCCCAGTTTCTATGGCCAGGCTGTGGTCCCTGAGCCTGTACTTCGTCAGGGTCTGTTTGTTGTTGTTGTTTTTTGTTGTAGACAATACTTTAATACTCTTTTCTGTATGATTATCAATAGTGGGTACTGGCCTAATTCGGCTCTGCACCCATTGTAAGGTGTTTTTCTCTGCACACGGAGGACGTTTCTACAGATCTCCATGTGCAGAGTTTCTGTGGGGTGTTTGTCCCATTGAGTGTAATCCTGGTCTGTGAGGGGACCCCACACTTCACTGCCATATAGGGCAATGGGTTGGATTACACTTTCAAATATTTGGAGCCAGATTCTTGTTGGTGGATTGATGTTGAAGAGCCTCCTTCTTAGTGCTCTGAGTGCCTTCTCCCTTAGTGCCTTCACTGCCAGATCAAAACTCCCAGATGAGCTGATGGTGAGACCAAGATATGTGTAGCTGGATGAGTGCTCCACTGTGTTGTTGAGTGTGAATTTGTACCTGTTTCCCTGAGGGCTGTCTTTCTTCTGGAAAACCATAACTCTGGTCTTGTCCAGATTGACTGTCAGTGTCCAGGTCTGATAGTACTGCTCCAGCAGTGCCAGGTTCTGCTGTAGCCCCTATTCTGTGGGCGACAGCAGGACCAGGTCATCTGCATAGAGCAGGAACTTGATTTCTGTGTCATGTAGTGTGAGACCAGGAGCTGCAGACTGTTCCAACATTCATGCTAATTCATTGATCTAGATATTGAACAGTGTTGGGCTCAGGCTGCAGGCCTGTCTCACCCCACGGCCTTGGGTGATGAATTTGGTCCTTTTGTTTCCAATTTTCACTGCACATTTGCTCTCTGCCTACATTGATTTAATGATGTCGTACACTTTGCCCCCTATGCCACTTTGGAGTAGTATGTAAAACAATCTTTCATGACAAATCGAGTCAAATGCTTTTTTGAAATCAACATACCAGGGAAAAAGTTTTCCTTTTTGTTTTTGGTGGACAATCTCTCTCTCTCTGCATCCCGAATGCAACAAAATAAATGGGAGCCTATCTCCCTATACTAAAAATGCACCCCAAGCAGAAAAGATGTTTCTAATCAGGTTATCTTTACCCAGGAAACCCAAGGTCCCTAAAAACTCAGAATAGCAAGCTCTCTCTAGCAAGGTTCAAATACTTAGCTCCAGTCAGGCTTTGTTTGGATGTTCATAAAGCAGGGCCTCTCTCTCCTGGTGCAAGCTTCGGGTTCCAACTCCTCTTTCCTTTCTGTTCTTGTCCTGCTCTTCTCGCTTCTTGTTGTCTCCTTCCTTGTTCTTAATGTGATCTTATATTGTGTGTTTCTGTACTGCTCATTGACAATCATTAACCCACAACTTACCTAGGTATACCAAAGTAAACTTTACAATGATTTCTGATTAATGGACCCCTACATTTCCACAAACATTCTCTCTGCTTTGAAGCTAGAAGTGTTCACTTTGCCAAGTGTCACAATCTTTATTTAAAATATGAGACACTTCTCAGTCACCCCAAACTGTAACAATATAATAATGTATGATTGAAAAGGGTAACATTTATATAAAATGTCAATTATATTCTACTTAATATGTAATATATTCACAGGGCTCCAGATAATATAGACATTGAAGAACAGTCCCTTTCTCTGTATCCTCTTCCACTAATTAATTGATCAACATTAAGGGGTGTATAGAAACACATCACCTCCAACAATTCACACACACATAAAAACTGTACTTAATACTGTGTATATGCTTTGATGCTGAAAGCTAGCTGTAAATCTTGTAAACCTATATTTAACTTTTTTACCTTTTCTATAGGGAGTACAACTTTTTCGGTTGTTACAGGTAATTATATCCCATACACTTTATTTTTCATTGAAATAATTTTAAATGCACAGTTTTAAATACACCAACAAAACCAACATTATAAAGTTTTTTAAAGACATACTGTATACTATAAGGAAGTAGTTTCTAAGCAGCTTCAATTTTGCTCCATACAGTATTATATTTAAATATTTTATGCTGTTTTTAAAAGTCTTAACAACCTAAAATAGATTGTGAGAAGCAAGCTGATGGGGAAGGGGAAATTTTTATTTCAGAATGAGATGATGTCCTGTAATCATATAATGAGATCAAATCATATTATCATTTTCAATCGTTTTTGAATCATTTTCAAAATTATTAAAATCATTTTGAAGTAGATAAAAAAATTAAAAACTTGCTAAAGAGGAATTTATTTAAAGTGCAAATTGCACTTTAAACCTTTTGTAATTTGATATAGTAAGTAAATATTGGCAGTATTGCAAGATACTAATAATGAAAGAGAAAACATTAGAATTATATTTTTGTAGTAATTATATTTTGTAGTTATAATTACCAGGAACAGTAACATGTGCAACAATTTAATTAAATTTAAGTGTTATGGATTCTTTATCATTTGAAAAAATGGTTTTGACTCACCAAAACAACCTGTGACTCCAAATTGGACAGATATGTGATTAAACTGCAAATTCCTAAATCAAAACATAAAATAACAATCTTAACAATAATGTTATTTATAAAGTTTCAGTTGTAGTTATGACATTTTCATTTTCATTTACAGGTCCTAATGTCACCAATACAGGTATTTAAGGCTGCTTATTTACTCATTCCTGCAACTATATGAAAACATACTGTAAATGCAAGATTAATTAATCTTTCATCCACATTTCTGGAACAATATTTCTGCAGAAAATTGAAATTGCCTTTCATTGCATAAACAAAAAACAGAAATGTAGTGCTGCACACTGAACATAAAAACCGTGGAAGTTATTTTTCTAGTTGGTTATCTACAGTATGCTGTTATCCATGGGGTTATTGTGGGGTTTTCTAGTGGGGTTGCAGGTTATATAGTATACTGACTTGTTTACAGTACATAATATGTGAATATTTACATTTTTATATTACATATTTGTTTTATATTAACTAATTCTATATGGGTATGGGACTATCCTTGGGCTATGAAACTTTAGTTTTAGATATCTGGAAAAAAAAAACGTTTTTTTATGTTAGTCATATGAAAACAAGACATGATAAAAAGTTCCACTTATTTATTTTTTATCTTCCCGGTCTGTAGTCAGCAATTACCTGTTATCATTAAACCAGAACTCAGTCTAGAAAAAGTAGAGTTAATTGTCTTCAACAAGTACGCGATAGCATCAGCAGTAGGTCAGGGGAAGCTCTCATTGATTATCCTGCAGGCACCTGGAAGGTCTTTTGTGTTTCAAACTTAAAATACAGTACCAGCCCTACACACAATCAGAGTTTGATCAGCTGTGTCTCCCCTCCTGGGGAAGCCGGGATACACAGATTAAGAAGAGAACCCAAATATGAGCCAGTGATGTTAGAAATATAGAAACAAACCTGCTTAACAGAAAGGAACATTTAAACTGGAAGTGTCACACAAATAAAATAACAGATCATTATTTCTCTTATGGTTGCTTTTTAATAACATCCTTACTGCTGTAAGGCATGCTTGCCACAAAATGCCTTAGAGTGTTTCATGCTATTTTTAATTTAAATAACGAAAACACACTTGTTCTTATCTTACAATTCCAACTTCATCTTCTTTGGAAACTGTAAATTTTAATTTTAATTTAGCTAATAGTGTTATTCTTCTTGCACAACTAAAATGTTTAATTCAGAAATGTTGCTTTAATAATAAGAAACATTCAAAAATAATATACATTTCATTTAGTCATAGCGCACTAACTACATTTTTTTTTATTTAGCTCCAAAGAATACTTCTCAAATTGGTAAGCTTATTTTCTATTTGTCTTCTCTAGGTGAAAGTAAAAAGTCCAAAAACATATCTGTAATATACTGTATACAGAATTTTGCTCTTGTGAAGGACTTAACAATCATTAATACTAAAGTTTTCTAGAATATATTAGTAAGTGATGGGGTATAATATCCTATATTTATTTAATAAAAAGTTAAATTAAAATTGTGCACTGCATGCGACTCTGCAACATTTTCACCATGGACTTTTTCATAGTTACTGTATATGTCTTTCAGACATGTTCTCTGATATCCATGACTTGATCGCTCCATTCAGGTGTGATTAATTCATGTGCTTTAATCTTCATGGATACTTAGATACTTGGAACATTGATAAATCCATGTTATCTCATGCACTTTGAGAAATTCTAAATAGTAAAAGAACATGAGCATTATAAAACTTGTATTTTGTATTTTGTGTTTTAGAGGAGAACATATCTGAATGAATCCAAAAATATCCAATCTTTGTAGTGCTTATCAAAAACAACCTAGCCAAAACCAACTGGAACAAATACCTTTTAGACAACACCTACTTGAGAAAGTGCAGGAGCTTCTGAAAAAAAGTAACATTATCTTTTACTGTATGTAGAAGACATCAAATCAGTAGGAAACATTTTTTCCAGCAGGGAATACACAGTCTTAGTAATTCTGTATCTGTCACACACTCAAATGAAAGCATTTTCTTCTGTGGTGATGCTGTCAGGTAAAGATCTGTTGTTGTTATTATTACCCATTCTAGGTCAGTTTCACAGATGTAAATGTTATGAGAAAGAAGACAAAGTTTGGAATCAAATCAGAAATAAATTTCCTCAAATAATTCAATTTCAATTCAGATAGAAATATTTTACTAGTTATTTCTTTTCATAGTACACCAAGAGAACAAAAATGAAAAAATAAAATCAATGTATTCTGATCCATACGTGTGTGAACAAATTGTGATGTATATGATTGTCCTTAGCATCATAATTCAGCATGATGTTTAATGGTTCCAAAAATATGTGTTGTTGTTTTCCTTGGGAAGTTTAGTGTATGGGAATTTGGGGAATTTTTTCAT